CCCCAGCCATGGACCCGAGCGGGTGTGACCGGCTGTGCTGCGGGCGAGGGCACCGGGATGAGACGGTGGTGCTGGAGGAGAACTGCCTTTGCCGCTTCCACTGGTGCTGCGTGGTGCAGTGCCGCAAGTGCTCCGTCCGCCAGGAGCTCAGCCTCTGCATCTGACAGACTGGGGTCGAGAGAGGACAATTCAGGGGGCCACCCCCAGGCTCACACCGCAGCCCCCCAGGACAGAGACAGGCTGAGGCAGTGGCAAGGATGGCATGGGTGAGCTCAGCTCTGCGCCCTGGGGAGTTCCAGCTTCCCTGGGAGACAGTGTGGGGCTGTCTGGCATCCCCACAGCCCCCGCAGTGGGGGCCGTGGGCGCAGAGCTTCCACTAATAAAGCTATTTAAAACCGGTGTGCCCCAGCACTTCCTGGGGAGGGCTGGGAATTGCTGCCACCCTACTGACACGGGACTAGCCGGAGAACTGTCCTGCCCTGGCCGTGAGTCCCAGACACCTGGACTCCCTCCAGCCTCTAGTTCATGCATTTTTTACCCACTTTCTACTTTTCTCTGTGATTGTAGAGCCAGGAGATGAGTGTGGGTTAGAGTGAGCGTTCTCCTGCCCTGCTCTGCAGCCCCCAGGCTGTATGAGTGCTCTCCTCCCATCACCCATGGCCACCACCACTTGGGGATGCCAATTTGTGTCCCACCGCCACCTGACCATCCATGGTTCCTCCACCTGCACCTCATGCAGGAGATATAGTTGGCTGCCCTGATGCTGTGGTGATGGGCGGTGAGTTTCTTGAAAGTATCTTCTATCCTCATCACTTTCTTCAGCCACTCTTGCTGCAGTCCCCACCACGGGGCCTGGCACGGAGAAGCCCTGTGTCGTGCTGACACTATTGGCTTGGTGGCACACAAGGCATTTGCTTGGCATGCCATGGGCCATGTGCAGCCTCACCTGGCCACGCACAGTGCCAGACACGTCTTGGTAACCCCATCAGTCGTGGCCCTTGTGGGTAAACACAGGGCAAGGAGCAGCCAGCAGAGCTGATATCCCTCTGCTCCAGAGGCTCTGGGAGTCTCTGAGGGGGACCCTCCCATGCTGCAAGGACCCTGTAGGAATGGTTTTCTCCAACCTTACCCACTGTGGGAGTTTAGGTTACCACCGAGGGAAACGTGCAGCACCTGCTGGGCTGGCAATGCCACACTGGGCAGAGGAGCCCCTGAGGGATGTCAGGAGAGCCAGTCTGGACAGAGAGGTCCACACTCCTGTGCCCTCCCTCCACACTGTAACAATGCAGGACACTGGGACTTTGCCTACCCAATCCGCCACAAAAGGGCTACCGGAGCCCTCAGCTGAGGCTGGCAATGCCGCACACGCTGGGTACTGCCAGGCAAGGCAGGAGCGGAGCTCTCCAATGCTGGGAACGCTGCAAGTCAAGGGGAGGTGCAGCAAGGTGTTGGTGATGCCCACAAGTGACCGGGTCCCTCCTTGGGAAGACAGCAGGGAAGAGCAGCAGGAACAGGGTGCTGGTGAAGCATTAATTTGGCCCAGTTAGCACTGGGGCGGGAACCTCTAAATCTGTCAGCTGCAGCTTTGCAGCTGGAAATTCCCTCCTGGCTTGCCCACAGAAATGCTGGGAGCGGGGAGGCACACAGGGCTCCTGGGAAATCCCCACCATGCACCCACCCAGGGAACACACGGGTGAGCGGGGCTGGGTGGGTGCACAGGAAGGTACTTGTGCATGCAAGAAGCTCAATGTGTGTGCATGCATAACAGGTCTATGCATGTTCATGACCATACGTGTGCATGTGAGCTTGTGTGCACACCCATCACCGTGCGTGTGAGCCCCTCATGGGTGTGCAAACAAGTTGGCCCCCATGTCTTCACGCACATTTATGAATACATGGAAAATTGTCAGCCTCTGTGTGCCAGTCACACTATCACCTGTGTGTGAACATATTTGTTTGCATGTGTCTTACTGTGTTTGTGCAGGTATGTCTGGGTAGGGAGAGCATGCATGAGTGCGAGAGAGCTCTGCAGGAAGCGAGTTGCAGAGATGCAGGACATGTTTGCTGGGAGATGTGGGGCCCTGTTTTGTAGGTCCCCTTGAATTAGAGACACTTGAGCGCACCTCAAGCCCTGGGCTGCCCATCAGGAAACTCAGTTCGGGCAGGTCCTGCAAAACTTTGGTTTACCCTTGCTCTGACCCGGAGTCATTCCAGGCTGAAGCCAGTTATACTAGGGGATTCAGAATCTCTCTGTGAGATGTCAGAGACCTAGCTCTGACCTTCGACAAGCTTCCTCTCTGGAGTCTGCCTCAGCTTCCCCACATAGGCTGCTTTCACACTCCTGGCTGCATGGATATGGCTCTGGAAGGCTGGATCATGAATAAACCCTGAGGGAAACCAGTATTCTCTTCTGACAACATTTCCCTGGACTGGAAACCACAAAAGCCAAAAATGTGGAGGGAGAAGAGAGGCTCTGGCATAGAAAGGTGATACCTGTAGCCAAGCATGGGCTGAATCTGCCCCTGTGGTCTGGAGAGGGCTGAACAGAGACCAGATCCTCTTAACAATCTCCCAGCTTCCCAGACCCTGAAAAACTCCCCCCCCCCCCATTTCCCCAGGCCTCCAGGAGCTCTGCAAGAGCTCTCCAT